ATATAGAGATTAGAAATGCATGTGAAAACATCTCAATGTCAATTGCCTTAAAATGAATTTTTCTGTATGAAACTGTATATTTTAACAACGAAGTGGATATCTTTTTTAAACATTACAACCTCATTTAATTTTATGTCTTATAGAGTTTACAATGAGTTAAAGATTATACAAGCGTAATAATTCATCTGTAAACCTAAAAATATACAACCAATTTTGAAAGAGATGTACCCTAGCTCAGAAAAATGTTATTGAATAGGTTAATGCTGTTGTAATGAAATGCTTCTTCTAATAAAAAAAATTATTTATTTTATGTGTATGAGTGTATTGACTGCATGTAAGTAAGTACTCCCATGCCACACAATGCCCATGGAAGTCAGCAGAAGGCACTGGATCCCCTGGAACTGGAGTAACGGACAGTGTTTAGTTGCCATGTGAGCGCTGGGAACCAGACCCGGGTCCTTTGCAAGAGCAACCAGTGTTCTTAAGTGCTGAGCCATCTCTCCACCACCACCACCGCCACCACCACCACCACCACCACCACCATCATCCCTGCCCCCAGTTCAGTTCTTAGCATCCAAGTTCATGTTGGAGCTAGAGTTACAGGCAGCTATGAGTAACCAATGTGGGTGTTAGGACCCAAACATGGGTCCTCTGGAAGAGCAACAAGAAGTCTTAAATACTGAATCATTCCTCTAGTGCTTACTATGACTTCTTTAGGATATCCAACATGCAAGCTAATAATGTACCTCTAAATGCAGAAATTTTTCCCATGCCCATGTATTAAAATATAACCTAAAGCTGTTGAATGGCAACTTTGAATCTTGGGCTTACCTTTTTTCTCTCCAGTGTAGGGTACATAGTCTTCCCGGTCCTTATGCTCCAATGCTTCCTTCTCTAGATAAGAAAGGAGACGTTCTCTATCAAAGGGCCCTGTAGAGGACTTTGATGTTTGGTTCTTCTGCCGGAACCCTGCAGGCAGAAGGGCATTCTGCCAAAGAGAATGAATCAGCCATTATGACCATCAAACCACCAAGATGCCAACACTGTATGCTTCCATAGATTTCTTGTAAGAAAGATGACAGCTAGTATGATACTTCAGTGCAGGACTTTAGGGTAGTCATGCCAGAAGTATGACAAGTTGTGGGGTTTTTTTGGTCTTTTTGAGGCAGGGTCTCCCTGTAGCTCCAGCTGTCCTAGAACTCACTATGTAGACCAGGATGGCCTTGAACTCACAGAGATCCTCCTGCCTCTGCCTCCCAAGTGCTGGGATTAAAGGCGTGCACCACCATGCCCGGTGACAAGTTGTTTTTTTAAAAAATATAGATTTATTGATTGTTTTTTAGGAAGGAGAGATGTGAGTGCCACGGTATGCATGTTGGAGGTCAAAAGGCAACTTTTGGGATCCATTTTTCTCCTTCTACCATGTGGATCCTAAGAACTGAACACAGGTTTTCAGGCTTAGCAGTAAGCGCTTTTACCCACTGAGCCATTTTGCTGGCCCACAAGTCTTAAAAAATATTAGGTAGAATTCACTTATATTCTTATTAAATATAGAGATGTACATATTCTCTTCAGACAGTATCCTACTAACAGGAAACACTCTTTAGTGTTTTATTTTTAATTATTTATTTTTATTTCATATGTATAGGTGTTCTGCCTATATGTATCTAAGTGCACCTATACATGCAATGCCTGTGGAGGCCAGAACAGAGCATTAGATCTCCTGGAACTGGAGTTAAACTGCCAAGCTGTTAAGACACTGTGTGGGTGCTGAGAACTGAACCTGGATCCTCTGCAAGAGCAGCAGTGCTCTTAATCACTGCCATCTTTCCAGGCCCTGTTTTGTGTTTTTGAGCTAGGATCTCAATGTATTACCATGGCTGGCCAGGAAATCACAATGTGGACCAAGCTGGCCTCAAACTTGCCCTGATCTTTCACACCCACCTTCACCCTGAAATTCTCAAGAATCCAGGGATTATTATTTTTCCCAGGGATTACTTTTTCCCTAGAGATTATTAAGAAAAAAAAAAAGTTTGCTTAGCTGGGCCTAGTGTGGCATGTACCTGTATTCCAGCACTCAAAAGGCTAAGGCAAGAGGAGGATGAATTCAATGTCCAAAAAACAACAGTGTTCTTAATGCTTAATAACTGACTAGCAACTATGTACATAGAATAATTCTACCACAAAAGAATTTTAAACCATGATACATGATATGCCTTCATAATGAACTCCATGTCATCAGAAGCCTTATCAAACAAAAACACATACATTCTAGTATCAAGAGAATACTTGTTTTATGTTCAAGCATAATACAAGAGCTTTCACTTTGTACATTTGTGTCTGTGTGCACATGAGTACTAGTATGTGCCTGCCTTGTCTCACATTTCTGGGTATTCCTTCGCTCCACAAACGAGGCAGCCAGAGAAGTCACACAAAAGGGCCAACCTTCTTTTGTAATACCTTCTAATACTGGTAGTGACTGAATCTCATAGGTGGCATAACTGTTCATTACAAAGGGTAATCCTTTATGGATACTAACAGGAAACGATCACTTTATAGCTAGAAAACATAATGCTTTAACTTTGGCCATTTGCTGAATTCCATAACTGTTTGCATAAAATTCACTTGTGTTTTCCTTAATGTAATGTTCTCATTATATTAGAAAGCTGACCTATGAAGACAAACCACAAAAGTCTGTTCCTAACCCTGAATGAAATACATATTTATAATACAAAACTGTCTGTGGTATTATTAGATTTTGAAATCATGCTAAAAATGATACACAAAGAATTCATTCTTAATCAATCTGTAAGTCCTATCAATTTTCAATTCCTAAAGAATTCAATCATCAGGACTGGAGCAATGGCTCGGTCCTTAAGAGCACTGGCTGCTCTTGCAGAGGACATGGGTTCAGTTCCCAGCACCCACATGGATGCTAACAACCACCCACAACTTCAGTTCCAGGGAATCCAATGCCCCCTTCTGGTCTCTGTGGGCACTGCATGTATGTGGTGCACTCATATACATGCAGGCAAACACTCATATACATAAAAATAAATAAAATATTTTTTAAAAGAATTCAATAATTATTTTGCCATCTTGAATGCCATTACTTTGGTGTAAGCTTGGATCCAAGCTTACCTGGAAAGTTACACCTTGGCAGATTGGGTGCCTGATCTCATCCGTGCTTGCCACCCTTGTCTGTTAGCCCAGGCTCAGCTCACACACCCTCTACTCTAATTATACTGGACTATTTTCCTTCCTTATATTTCTCACATACTTCCTTCAGTCACTAGGCCTTTATGTGAAATGTAGAGGTGTGTTTCCTGGAAGGCTCTCTCTATCCTTTTTAGTTATTCATTTTTAAGACTGCACCCTGTGCCAAGAAAGGTTTTTTTCTGATGTTCATTCATAAGTGTTACTGCTGGTGGCACTCATCATTCTTTTAACACAGTATTATCTGATTAAAGTCTAGTTCTCCCCATTTCTACCAGCCTGCATCATGAGAGCAAAAGTTACATTTGTTTTGTTCACTCTTACATTTCCTAGGTGTAGCATACTAATTAGGAACTATAGTTTGTCCCTCAAGCGTTCATTGAAGAAAAGAGTTCAGGACTGGGGTGAAGCTCAGTGGTAGAGCACATGGCCTGAGGGCCTAGGTTCAATCTCCAGTATTGAAAGAAAGAAAGAAAATACAAAGGATACTTTTAAAGAAAACTTCTCATTAAGGCAAATTAATAATAAAGCAAACATTGTTATAATATTTCATGTTGGTGGTAATAGGGCTACACTACTCTGCATGGTTGACAAAAGCTATATGACAAAGTTTTAAAATATGTTAGCTTGTGGGGCTGGAGAGATGGCTCAGTGGTTAAGAGCACTGCCTTTTCTTGCAGAAGACCTGGATTCAAATCCCAGCACCCACACGGCAGCTAACATCTGTCCATAATTCCAGCTCCAGGGGATCTGACATCTTCTTCTGTTCTCCTTGGGCATGGCATGACATGGTGCACTTATATACATGTAGGCAATACACACACATATATGAAATAAAAATAAAATATTAAAAAATATGTTAGCTTGGGTTAGTATGAGGAAGGCTCTGGGTTTGCTCTCTAGCACCACAAACACTGGGCATGGTATACATACCTGTCATCCCTCTATCATGGGAGGTAGAGGCAGGGGACCAAGGGTTCAAGTTCATTCTAGCTATATGAAGCTCTCTAGGCTACCCTTTCCTGAAAATAAACAAAAACTGAAAAGCAAATAAAATCTACCAATACCCTAGGTATAGTTTAAAACACAGTTGTAAGGACTGGCATGCATGAGGCAGGATGCTGCCAAACACCCTGTAATGCACAGGGCAGCCCCTCCCAAGATCATCCAGTCCTACATTGAAAACCCTATACTAGACAACCTCTTATAGTCTTTCTAGTTCTCAAGTGTTTGATTTAAATTGGTTTGATTTAAAATGTTTGATTTAAATTGGTTTGATTGACCTGCCAAATATATTGCTGACAGCACTGTTATTCTAAGTAATCCCTCAGACTCTGGTATAATGAGAACTTTCCCTTATAATTATGGTCAAAGGACTTGATTTGTGGTATAGGCATATCACCCAGCAACAAGAATAATTTTATAAACCACACCCTAGGGTCTAGAGAGTAATAGAGTACATACTTAGCATGCTTTAAGCCCTGGGTTCAATTCCCAGCATCTCTTCTCCCTTAAAAAAGTCCACAGCTCTACCTCAATCCTTAAAGGGGATGTAAAACCAATGTCTGGACTTATAAGAAACATGGCAAAGCTTAGCAAATAACCACTACCTTCAGGTTCTCCCCTGCTACCTGTCCCTACCTAAATAGCAGTTCAAAGTTTAAAGATCTCTACATTAGCCTTGTGTAATTCATAAGTCAAGTAACAGCCACATGGCAAATTAAGACACACACATGACCTAGAATGGTTCAATTCTAAAAAGGTGTAAAAGTACACCCACACAATCGTTTTGTTTTTCACTTTCAATATAATACTCAACAACTTATGTGAGTTATTCAATACTTTATTATAAACTAAGGTACACATTAGATGATTCTGTCCAAATGTAGGCTTTGTAAGTCTGAACATATTTAAGGTAGGCTAGGCAAAGCTATGATGTTCAGTAGGTTCGGTCTATTAAACGTAGTTCAATTATATTTGCATTTTAGGATCAGGGATGCAATACCATTGCTAAAACAAGAAGTATTCATGCTCAGATCTCTTAGATCTATTTATATCATTTGGGGGAGCTGAAGAGATGGCTCAGCAGTTAAGAACACTGGCTGTTCTTGCAGAAGACCCAGGTTTGAATCCAAGCACCCACATGGCAGCTAACAACTGTCCATAACTCTAGTCCCAGGGGATTCAACAGCCTCTTCTGACCTCCATGGGCATTGCATGACACAGGTGCACTTACCTACATGCAGATAATACACACATACACATAAAATAAAAACCAATAAAATATTTTTTAAAAACTTATATCATCTGTTCAACCTTAGTTAGAACTTAGTTCAACTTAGTGCTAGGTTTATATCATGAACAACCTTCTAGAAGCACAGTATGCTGGAGCCAGCCTAGTATATGAACTCTAAAGAGAACTCTAAAGGATCACCATACATCAAAGAGTTAATCAGCTATTGCTTTCAACTAAATATATGCTTCCCTGCACAGAGAGTGGTTTTCTTAGAAAAGAAAAGAAAAAAAAATTCTGTGGATGTTAAGTGATTGTTTAGAACACCTGTATAAAAAATGATGTGGAGGTAGATGTGGGGAGCTGAAGAAGCAGTACAGGACCAGCTTATTTGGATGAAAAAGAGGTGAAGGGTACCAGGGAAAAGTCAAAGAGAGCTCACTGCCAGAAGGCAGAGACTTAGTCAACTGGTTTGAAAAGCTATTTCATTTCTCTTCATCAGCTAGTACCAACCTCAGGGTCAAGATCATCCAGAACAGTTTCCAGCTGTTTCAGCTCTATCTCTGACAGATTCCCAAGAAGCTCATCCTCATCCAGCTCCTTGTACTTCTCTAAGTCCTTCCGGAATGGCAGTGCCATGCTTTGCAGTGAGGGAAGTCTCTTATACTTCAGTATAAGCAGAAGCAATTTCCACTTTTTCTTATGGCTATGGAGAGAAGGAACAAAACATTTTAAGCACAAATCCTCTCTGCTTGCATTTGTCATCAGAGTCAGGGAAATGCTATGTCCATGTGCCTGTGCTGCCATGCCCCATACATAGACTTTTTGTAAAAAGATACATTTATTCGGCCGGGCATGGTGGCGCATGCCTTTAATCCCAGCACTTGGAAGGCAGAGGCAGGCAGATCTGTGTGAGTTTGAGGCCAGCCTGGTCTACATAGTGAGTTCCAGGACAGCTGGGGCTACAAGGAGACCCTGTCTCAAAAAAGATACATTTATTTAGCATCATGATCAGACTATTACATTTAGTAATCATCAGCATGGGTAAAAAAGTCTACATTAAAACCCTTTGTTGGAATGCTTTACACCTTCCATACAACAGGAACTAAAGTTAAAGTAACCTGTCACACAATTTGTCACAAGTACAGTCCTGTAAGGTTTTTGGCCCCACACAGTACTCCTGTACTTCTATAACACATCTTCGTAGCAGCTGGGCCCTGCCACCACTGTGCTCGGCTGAGTTCATAACTGTAACCTGCAGCTTCCTTGTCACCCCTCTGATTCTCCTTCCGGCTAAGCTCTGCTATCTGGCAGTAATTAGAACCTTCTGCCACTACCACAGCTACTGCTGCTGCTGGAACTACCAGTCACCTTGGTTTTGTGGTTTAGCAAACTACTGGCCTCCACCACCACAGCAGCCAGTGCTTCTACCTCCAAAGTTTGTTCCCTTCACACTCCAAAATTCAAAGACTGATTATGGTAATTGCCAAAATCATACACTACATAGACTTTAATTATTTTGAGCATCTACTCTCTTTACTCTCAAAAGTGTCCCAATATGAGCCATAAATTCAAGATTACCCTACTAATAAATAAGAAAGCAATCTGGTGCACAATGACAGGAAATGAGATTATTAGGGCAAAGGTAATGCATATCTCTCAGGTTTTATAAATTTGGAATACAACATTTATAAATAGTTTATTCCAATACATTGTCTTTTCTAATCTCAAAGTAAAATCTATCCCAAACTTTATAGTATTGCTTTAAGAATACAATGAACACCCAGGAACATATCCTAGCAGCTTGATACACTAGGTCACAGTGACCTTAGTCACATTTCTCCCCTACAGTGCCATCATACTGAACTATCAATTACTCTCTTGCTCATCTTTATAGTGTGTACAAAGCCATTTTAATTTACTTTTATTACACTTTGTATCAAATGAATCCTCCTAGGACTTTCTCATTTAACACTGGTTTGAGTTGAAGCTTAGAGTTAAATGTCTTTCAGTTTCATTTCAATCCATCCCACAAACAGTTGAGCTACTCGTCATCTTTCCCCCTCTATTTCTTTGCTATAATAAATTACCTTCCACTAATTTCCTGGTACAGATGTACAAAAGTTCCTCCACAGTTCAAACCTAGGACTGGAATTACTGGGGGAAAGGGAATGTTTACACTTGACTTTATTAGATAAAGCCAAGCTATTTTCAATGTGGTTGTACCAATTAACAGTTCTAGAAGAGTCCATACTTGACAATCCATCTTGCTCCTCCTCGTTCATTTTTAGTATGATCAGAGCTCTAACTTTTGGCATTCTGGTATATGCAAGACGATATTGCACTGTGGCTTCAATTTGCATTTTGTTGAGCTATGACAAAGATAGGTATCTTTAAAAAATTTTATTTATTTTTATTTTATGTGTATGAGTATATTGCCTCCATGTAGGTAAGTGCACCCATGTCGTGCAATGCTGGAGGAGGACAAAAAGGCCATCGGATCCCCTGGAACTGGAGTTACGGACAGTTGTTAGCTGCCATGTGGGTGCTGGGTTTCGAACCTGTGTCTCCTGTTCTTAACTGCTTAGCCACCTCTCCAGACCCAAAGATATGTATCTTTTTATGTGTTTATTCACTAATGGTGTTCTTTTTTTCTTTGAATAATTTATTGCTCATTTTTATATTCAGTTGTCTTTTTTGTAACACAATTAAATAGGAAGAGTAAATTCCAATGTTCTGGCACAGTCTTACAACTAGTATAATAATATATAATTGGCTAAATACTTTTTTTTCTATTTCATTATGTGGCCCTGACTGGCTTGGAACTCACTATGTAGATCAGGCTGGCCTCAAACTCAGAGATCTGCCAGTCTCTGTCTCCCAAGTACTGGGATCAAAGGCATGTGCCACTAATATTTACTTTGGAGGAGTTTGAAGATTTCTAAGAAAAAAAAGAAAACCCAACAGATACACAATTATACTAATTACCCTGATTTGATCAATACATCCTATACATGATCAAATTATCAGATCCCACTCCAGAAATATATAAGATTATGTGTCAATTAAAAACTAAAATAGGCTGGTGGCTCACCGCACAATCCGGGACACTGAGGCAGAATGACTGCCACAAGTTTGAGGCCAGCTTGTCTGTAAAATCGGACACTGACTCAAAAATAGGGGTTGGACAGGCCTAAGTGACATATCTACAATGCAACCTCTACACCTAAGGCTCATGGAACATAGACCAGGAATAAAGAAGAGGACACTAATGAATCTCTCAGTTCTCAATAATGAAGCCCACTCATGCAGTAGAGGGCCAGGAATACAAAAGGTCACAAATGGCCACAGTGTGCAGATCAAGAGTCTGCTGAATCATGGACTTTGGACAGGACCCTTTCATTAAACTTCACCCACCCAAGGCTCAGGGACCATCTCAGAAGAGGGGGTGGAAAGATTGTAAGAGCCAGGGAGGAGGTGCATGACCATATGGGAAAAAGAGTCCTACAAGCTCCTGGGAACCTGCTCATATGATTCTATGGCAATAGTGTCAGCATACACAAGTCCCATGCAAACTCAGGCAGACAATAACCCAGCACAGAGCTGGAAAAATGAACAGCAGATCCCAATCTTATCTGAAGGAATGCTGGCAACTGATTGCTGCTAGATGAAGAAGAGCTGATCTTCCTAAAAAAGGGACTCTAGATAGGCTGACTAGACTCAGTAGACAGACTTGCACTGGGGAATGGCTGGGGACACTGACAACCCAGTGGGCCTTAAGAGGGATGACAGAGTATATGGGCTCAAGCTGGGGGGGCGGTATGGGAGGGAGTGGGGATGGGGTATAAAGATGTTTAAGATTACTTGAGATGTTCTGTATAAAATATACAAAAAATTCATTAAAAATATAAATAAAGAAAAATAGGGGCTGGAGACATGGCTCAGTAGTTAAGAGCACTGGTTGCTCTTGCAGAAGACCCAGGTTTGTTTCCCAGCATCCACATGGTAGCTAACAACTGTCCAGAGCTCCAGTTACAGGGAATCCAATGCTCTCTTCTGGTCTCCATGGGCACTGCATGACACACATGTACTTACATGCAGGCAATACATTCACACATGTAAAAATAATAAATATTGAAAAATAACCCCCCAAAATAAAAATAAACTGAGAGCTAGGGATATAGCTCAGTAGTAAAGTACTCACATAGACTGAACAAGGCCATGGATTAAACCCTACTGCTACAACAACAAAAAATTGAGAATACACAATGAAACAGTCAATCCCATATTCCTTCCCATCAGTAAATAGAGTTCTGTTGGTGGTTGGGGTGTTTTGTTTTGTTTTGCGATAGGGGGTCTATATAGCCCAAGTTGTCCTCAAACTCATGATCCTCCTGCCTCAGCCTCGCCTCTAGTGCTGACATTATAGGCATGTACTACCATGCCTAGCCCATCAATAGCAATTTAGCTTTAGCAAAGATCATCAATGAACACTAGGATATACATTTTTTTTCCTTTAAAGAGAGTTTATCAATTATGTAAGTTTGGGCCAATGAGATGGCTCAGCGAGTAAAGGCACTTGCTGCCAAGCCTCATGACCTAAGTTTCATCCTGAGGACCCAAAGGATGGAAGGAGACATCTGACTGTAGCAAATTATCCTCTGACCTCTACATGCCCTCCCCCAATACAACAGATAAGTATTTTTAAAAACCATGAAGTTTAGCCAGGCGTGGTGGTGCACACCTCTAATCCCAGCACTAGGAAGGCAGAGGCAGACAGATCTCTGTGAGTTCAAGGGCAGCCTGGTCTACATAGTAAGTTCCAGGCTAGTTGGGGATACAGGGAGACCCTGTCTCAAAAAGACCAAAAAAAAAAAAAAAATCATTAAATTAAAAAAAAATTACTGTATTTAACCAGTATCTACTTATTTTCCTCAGTTTTATATTTTTAGAGAGGAGAGTATTAACACAAATCATGCTATTAAAGTAATTCTGGAATTACATATTTCAGGGGTACATTTTCTCAACATGCTAGCTGTTAAGCCCCATTTCATCACCATTTCTATGGGGTGGGCTTTGAGTTTCCAGACTCTTCTATAATTTCTCTCTTTGAGGCACACAGATGATCATAATGTTCTGTTTCAAAACTTTATGTAGATTTGTATTACTATGTACTACAGGATTAGCCAGTGACCTGAATTCGGCCGGTTTGTTTCCATAAATGTGTATCAGAACACAGTCACATCATTCACAGATGACTGCTTTGCCTGTTCATGTGCCACAATGGCAAGACTGAATAATTACAAATCTGCCCTTCACAGAAAAAAAAACCTACCAACTGCTGAGAAAAGTCCAAATTCCTCAGCACAAGATACACAGTTTACAAACTGGTTTGCACTAGCTTTCCAATTATCTCCAGCTGCTCCCTATCACAACACCCAGGGAACTCTAGATCCCTACGCCCCTGCTCATCATGCTCCCTCTTGCCAGATGAAATGTGCTCTTCACTACCCCCATGTTTTTTCAGCTGAACCTCTCACTGAAACATAATATTCCTAAAAACCTCCCTAGGCTCAACTCTCCAGGCAAAACCAATGGCGTCCTTGTTTGTGTTGCCATTCTCTTTGTAGACACTTCATCATACCCACAGGCTCTACTGCATATAGATAACTTCAAAACTAAAAGTGTAACTGAAAATATCAACAC